AACTACAGTGGTGCCTCACATAGCGATGATAATTGGTGCAGCAAAAATCGCTGCAAAGCGATTTCATCACTATGTGATTTTTAAAAGCCCATAGGAATGCATTGAAACCCCTTCACTGCATTCCTATGGGCTTCAGACTCGCCTTAAAGCGAAAATCCTCCATACGGCGGCCATTTTCTCTGCCCGGTAAGCAAGGAATCCGTCACAGAAAACAGCAGGTGGCCTTTTTTTTACCCGGTGGCCATTTTGGAACCGCCGATCAGCTGTTAAAAAATCATCGCTTTGCGATGATCGGTAAGCAAAACAGGGTACCGATCATCGCAAAGCGATTTCCCCCCATTTAAAACATCGCTAAATCTTAATCGCTATGCGATTTCGTCGTTAAAGGGGGCGCCCATTAAGTGAGGCACCACTGTATAGTTAACAGTAAGGTAGCCAAGTTTGCAGATGACACAAAACTTTTCTGGGTGGTGAAGACCAGAAGGGATAGTGAAGAGCTCCAGAAGGATCTCTCCAAACTGTAATGCACATTGGGCCAAAAGATCAAAACTTTATCAGCTGATGGGTTCTGAGCTGTCCATGACAGATCAGGAAAGAGATCTTGATGTGCTGGTGGACAGCTTGATGAAAGTGTCAATCCAGTGTGCGGTGGCAGTGAAGATGGCCAATTCCATACTAGTTATCATTAAAAGGGGGATTGAAAATATTACAGCCAACATTATAATGTCATTGGCCGCACCTGGATTATTGTGTACAGTTCTGATTGCCGCACCTCAAAAAAAGACATCGTGGAACTGGAAAAGGTGCAAAACAGATTGATTAAAATGATGACTGGGCTGGAGCATCTCCGTTATGGGGAAAGGCTACAGTGTTTGGGGCTCTTTAGTTTAGAGAAAAGGTACCTGAGGAAGGTCATGACTAAGACGTATAAAATTATGCAGGGGATGGATAAAGTGGATAGAAGGAAGCTCTTTTCTCTCACACACAATACCAGAACACTGAAATTGAGTGTTGGGAGAGTGAGAAGAGACAAAAGAAAATATTTATTTATCCGGCATGTTGTTAGTCTGTGGAACTCCCTGCAACAGGATGTGGTGATGGCATCTGGCCAAGATGCACTTAAAAGGGGATTGGTCAGATTTCTGGAGGAAAAGTCCATTGCAGGTTAAAAGCCATGACGTGGATGTATAATCCCCAGGTTTAAAAGGAAGGTACCTCAAAATACCAGATGCAGGGGAGGGGTATTAGGAGATAGGTATGTAGCTGTTCCTTCATGGATCACTGCCTTGTCATAGTGAAGGGGCTTGAGTAATTCAGTGAAGCTATGGGATATGCCGTGCAGGGACACCGAAGACGGGAAGCTCACAGTGGAGAGTTCTGACTAAATGCAATCCATCTGGAGTAGGAATTGGCAAACCACTCCAGTATCCCTGTCAAGAATACCCCATGAACAGAAACAAAAGGCTAAAAGATATGACGCTGGAAGATGGGACCCTCAGGTCAGAAGGCGTCCAACATGCTACTGAGGAAGAGCAGAGGACAAGTACAAGTAGCTCCAGAGCTAATGAAGTGGTTGGGCTAAAGCCGAAAGGACGCTCAGCTGCAGACATGTCTGGAAGTGAAAGGAAAGTCCGATGCTGCAAAGAAAAATACTGCATAAGAACCTGGAATGTAAGATCTATGAACCTTGGTAAGCTGGATGTGGTCAAACAGGAGATGGCAGGAATAAACATTGACATCCTGAGTGTCAGTGAACTAAAATGGATGTGAACGAGCGAATTCAATTGAGACAATTATCATTATCTACTACTGTGAGAAAAAATCCCATAGAAGGAATGGAGTAGCTCTCATAGTCAACAAAAGACTGGGAAAAGCTGTACTAGGGTACAATCTCAAAAATGAGAGAATGATTTCAATAGGAAGCCAAGGTAGGCTTTTCAACATCAAAGGACTCCAAGTTAATGCACGAACCACCGATGCTGAAGAGGCTGAAACTGACCAATTCTATGAAGACTTACAACACTTTCTAGAACTGACACCAAAGAAAGATGTTCTTCTCATTACAGGGGACTAGAACGCTAAAGTAGGGAGTCAACAGATAAAAGGAACAACAGGTAGTATGGCCTTGGAGTTCAGAACGAAGCAAGGCAAAGGCTAATAGAGTTCTGTCAAGAGAACAAGCTGGTCATCACAAACACTCTTTTCCAACAACACAAGAGGTCACTCTACACATGGACATCACCAGATGGGTAATATTGAAATCTGATTGATTATGTTGTCTGCAGCCAAAGACGGAAAAGCTCTATACGGTGAACAAAAACAAGACCTGGAGCTGATTATGGCTCTGATCATCAGCTTCTCATAGCAAACTTCAAGCTTAAACTGAAGAAAGTAGGAAAAACCACAGGGATAGTCAGGTATAGTGTAAACCAAATTCCTTATGAATACACAGTGAAAGTGAAGAACAGATTTAAGGAACTCGATTTGGTGGACAGAGTGCCTGAAGAACTATGAATGGAAGCCCATAACATTGTACAGGAGGCAGCAACAAAATCCATCCCAAAGAAAAGGAATGCAAGAAAGCAAAGTGGCTGTCCAATGAGGCCTTACAAATAGCAGAGAAGAGAAGGAAAACAAAATGCAAGGGAGATAGGGAAAGTTACAGAAAA